GGTTTAGGGTTTAGGGTTTAGGGTTTAGGGTAAAGTCTTTTTTAGGCTCCAGGGTGAGGGTTTCACGTGACGACGGAGGCGCAATGCAGCGTTGGAGGTTTCACAGGTTGTGATACTTCGGTTGAATTCGGGGTTATTCCAGGGCTTAACTTTGTGGTACTTTACTGTGACTTTAGATCTTGACCTTTTTTGGGTTTAATGGGTTTCTTATTAAGGCAGCTAAAAGTTCAATTATAGCTACCCTCCTGGGTGCAGCCAAGTTAAGGTTTAGGGCTACACTATCTCATGCCGGTGACCTGCAGAGCACATCTGACTTTTCAGCGTGTTGGCATAGCATGACGCTGAGGGCTGTGCCTTACCATTGATTCCTCTGATTGTATTCATATAGGCAGTTGTTCAAAATGCCTGTCCCTAAGTCAGCTATGGGCTGTAGTCGTAATAAGGATGCCCCGTGCAAAGGGACACATTTGTCTGTGTCCAATGGTCCATCCCTTTCAAGAGGCGTTAGCGCGACAATTGGAATATTACAAGGGGTTGGGAAGGCAGGGAAGAAATTGCGCCCTAAACCCTGTAGAGGTGTGGGTTGTTCTTATGAGCCTAGCAGGCTTTAGGAATTGCTTGATGAGGAATCCAATTCTGCAAGAAAAATATCCAAAAATGACATGCGATGCCGCATGCAGCGCGTGCGCGAGGGCACAAGCCATCCCGATGCCGATCTAGAGGTGCTTCTTCAAATTGTCCAACCCTCTGGGGCTCCGAAAGGGAGGCCCCCCCAACACCCAAAACCCGAACAGCCATCATGTAGCGCGATGTTCAAAGGACCCTAGAGGGAGTCTCTACGAATCTTCGGAGAGTCTAATGCGCAGATGCAAAGGAGCCATGGCAGATCCTTTCACTGGCAAGTTCCGCCACACTTCAACATGTCCCAAAACCCTAAACCCTAAACCCTAAACCCTAAACCCTAAACCCTAAACCCTAAACCCTAAACCCTAAACCCTAAACCCTAAACCCTAAACCCTAAACCCTCTACCCTAAACCCTAAGCCCTAAACCCTAAACCCTCAACCCCAAACCCTAAACCCTAAACCCTAAACCCTAAACCCTAAACCCTAAACCCTAAACCCTAAACCCTAAAGCCTAAAGCCTAAAGCCTAAAGCCTAAAGCCTAAAGCCCTAAACCCTAAACCCTAAACCCTAAACCCCAAACCCTAAACCCCAAACCCTAAACCCTAAACCCTAAACCCCAAACCCTAAACCCTAAACCCCAAACCCTAAACCCAAAACTCTAAACCCTAAACCCTCAACCGCCTCTGAAATGCGTTGGGGTAGACAGGCTGCCGCTCCTTTGCATAGACCCAAGAATCCCAGGTTCCGCCGACCGAGATTCGGTCACAGGACCCTTCCTAGGTGCACATGGAACCTTCTGAGGGACTACGCTCTAAGCCCAAAACCCGAAACCCTAAGCCCTGGAACCCTAAACCCTGAACCCCTCAACCCTGCATAAACCCTAAACCGCCAAAACAAGCTGAACCCTAAAACCCTAAACCTATCCCTAAACCCCAAAACCCTGAACCCTAAAAGCTTAAATCCTACATCCTAAGCCCGAAGCCTAAACCCTGAACCCTAACACCCTAAACCGTACACCCTAAAACCCTAAACCCTATGGGCCCTTGTGTAGTTTTAAATATCGGGTATGTAAGGGTTCACCAGTTCCCCACACTAAGGGGCCTTGTGAATACCCTAAGAGCAGCTTACCTTGCCAAGGGTTTAGGGTTTAGGGTTTAGGGTTTAAGGTTTAGGGTTTAGGGTTTAGGGTTAGGGTTTAGGGTTTTAGGGTTCAACTTGAAACTTTTTTCGGGTTTGCATATTTGTAGGAAATGAGGAGTTCAACCATCGGTTATTCCCTGGTCATGTGCGAAGCAAATAAAAGTGGTCGAGCTGAGTTGAGGGTCGGGTCTTTGTCCTTCTGATAATGGGGCGCTGAAGTTTCCAAATTATTCGGGCGTGGAGGGGTTTCGGGTCGCCAAGGTCTTGAAAAGGTGAGTTCCCTGAGAGCGAACCATGCGAGCAACATGCTTCACCTTCTAAAGTTAAGCCGTGAACTCCACACCCGAATCCCGAATTGGAGGTTCATGGTACTTATTAACCAATTCTCATTGTACTTATCACCCACCTGTAAGCCCCTTAAGATATGCTCATAGTTGTGTTATCAGTACAGCTATAGTTGGGTTAATAAGTACCCTGAACCTCCAAGTAAAGCCTTAACCCCGGGACCCTGACCCTAGCCCTAGATCCTAAAGTACACAGTGCAGACTAAACCCTGAACCCTAAACCCCAAACCCCAAACCCCAAACCCTAAACCCTAAACCCTAAACCCCAAACCCTAAACCCTAAACCCTAAACCCTAAGGCAGCTGAGGGGTCGATTCAGTTGACAGACCCCCCGAACCCTTGGTGGGGCGCCGAAGAGCCTTGATGGTACCAGATCAGGTCGCCTTATAT